GTCCAAACTCTCTGTGGTTATAATGATGCAAAGTTCTCACGCTGAGCTCTGAAAACGTTGCTGTTCTACATCAACATAAGCTGTGTTAACAACTGCAAAAGAAGCTCATACTCCCAATTCAGCTGAATCATTTGATCATAATTTATTGCACTTAAGTCCATTTATTGTACCGCCACAAACCCTTAGTCTAGCGGTAACTCACTGACCACAGCCGGGAGCTTTCAGCCCAGAGGTTAATACAACTGCCATTGATTTGACACAGTAATAAAACGTTAAGGACACTGCTCCCTCAGGATCTGGTACAATTTGTAAGTACAACACAAAAAGAAAGTACACACACAGCATGTATCAAGTATAGCTGTGCCCTCAGAAAAAGCACAGAGCCGTGGGGCCCGTGGGGGGTATTATGTAACATTAGCCCCTGACATATCAAGTGATTTCACGCACCTCCAGGCCGGACAATCGGACCATTTGTTCAGCCGGTCAAAAATAGCCGCCTGGTTCATTGGCGTCTACTATTACCAGCTCTCTAGATCAGACACAGTAGAGTTAAGACTGAGAAAATAGTCAAGGAGATGGGAGACCAGCATTACTATTATTAGGTCAATTTAAAGAGGCACTGAGCAATATTTCTGGTGAAAGATTTGCTGCCTGCTCATCTCTCTGGAAATGTTATTGCTTTGACTTGAATGTTCCCTTAGATGAAACCTATCTATTACAATTTAGATCTGTGGAGAGTCGCCCCCATTTCACAGAAAGAATTAATGTATTTTTGATCAATAGAAACATCCGTACTGAATAAAAGCTCGATGAATATGTTATACCATGGAACATTCCAGACAAAGCAATTACATTTTCATTGAGACAAGTATCATAAACCTCTCACGATAACTCATTTTGACGTTCCATATATTACTGAAATAAAAATAAATGATAAACGGTAATATTGAAACCAAATCATAAAGCACAATTATTTTCAATATGCTGCAGAATTACAACACTTAAGCAACTGGTTTGTGTGATTTTAGTTCAGAATTCATCCTTCTACAGCTTAAATTTGATCATATTATATAAAAAAAAGTCCCACTAGTACGAAGAAAAGGTCCCCACAATAAATATTGATCCTCAAAAATTATTGTTTCATTTATAGTATATTGAACGTTAAGACAAAACAGTAATTATGATGGCAGGCCTAGAAAATAGTCAAGAAGATGGGAGACAACCAGCATTACTAATATTAGGAAAGTTAAGTTATGCTAAGATAAAGTTATGATTATGATAGGTTAGTCAGAAAGTAGAAGAAAGTTAAAGGTCCTGTATTACCAAAATTTACTCTTGTGAGCTTTACGTCATGTTGTGTCATCAAAAACGTACATGGAGTTGTGTTTTGTTTCATTCACACGTTTGAGTAATGCTTTAATATCAGTCTGTCTACATCTAAAAAGCTCAAAAAAAACTTCTGTGATTTTGCAATGTCATGAGGCTGTAGTTTTCAAGTTAACAGCTCCTTTTACCATTTGTTAAGCAGAGATTATTCCAGGACTGAAATGATCCAAATGATCCCAGTGAAGGTGTATGGAGTTTAAAACTTCCTGTATTACCACATGACATCACAATGAGTTTTCTGTTTGCTTAAATATGCAGGGTTGGTGTGTTAAACATGTGTTGACATGAAACAAAACGGAACTGCAAGTAAAGTTGTGATGAGGAAACAACATAACAGATCAGAAAAGTGTGTAATATGCAATACAGTTAAAGTATTTATGATGACTTGAACATGATTGTTTGGCATAGAAGACACCATATCTACAATTATAGCTGTTTTTGTGCACAGCTGTTCCTACTTAGAAACCAGAAATACAAAATCATAAATAACATTTGATTTGATCCAAAGGATTAGGCATTTTTTGCATTGTTGAGTGCACTATCAGGACATTTTGGGCATGCCATGGGTATGTGCAATCCAATATACAGTCACTATCATTGAGTTGCAACATGACTAAGCATTAAAGTTTCTAAATGTTTTATACAGCTAAGTGAGTCATGTGGCGGTAATAGTAAACACAGATCAAAGTTAAATATCAGCAACTGAATAATACATAGGAGACTAGACTAAAGTTGACTTTGCTTCTCAGCTCATTTCAATGGAGCAATATTTCATCATCATTAAAAAAACATAACAAAACTGCAAAACATATATAACTGAAGTAGCCTTGACAATCCTGAAGTATTTTATTCAGAAACACACCGTCCAGACATAGACAATGTTAATGTATGCTTCTAAAACAGTCCCAGTGGAATCAGTATGATCTGTAGAGCAGAACAAGCAGCAGGTGGAGGACAGAAGAATGCTAAGGGATGTTAGGGGATTAGCGCGTTATCCAAGTCCCCTCCATAGCAGCCAAAACTAGAGCTGTTACACCTGCAAAGAACTGATTTAGTACTTTGAATTTCTGTTCTCCACAGACACGTACTGCCACCAATGACCAAAACATGTTTCTATCCAATTCTAACATCTACCTGTCTTCAAATATAATGTATTTTGACATTTCTGTGTTTTAAAAGGTCAGACTGAGAATTCTGAAAGCATTACTCCATTACTTGTGTTTTCTCTTTATTTATAGTTATTTAAAGGTGCACTACGTAACTTTTTGGTTGGGGGTACGTCACCTACTTGTTTCTATGGAAATGGAATGTTCCACAGCATGACATTAAACAGCTCTACCTTACATTTATTATGTTTACATGTGGTTTTATTGCTCAGAAATACCCCCCAAAAACAGGCTTTCTGACTGTGAGCAGGGTAACTTGGTCTGGTTTTGTCTCCATGAGGTTTAAAACCATACTGTGAAACATTCCAGACAAAGCAATAACATCTCAAAGCATCTGATGGACCCTCCGCCAGGAAAGTTACACAGTGCACCTTTAAGTTAGTACACAAAAAAATTCAGTGGTCGTGCTTAAATACCTTACCCTACATGGCCCACGATATCATTGGAAGTCGCTAGAGTTACACCTGAAATAAGTTTTTTCTCTTGGTTTTATCTTGACCCCAGTGAAGGAGCAGGCCTTACATAAGAGTTACTTACTGCAGCCTTTTCATTACTGAGAATCCTTCATTATGGTGGAGAGCCGGAGCTGAACAGAGCGTGAATGGGATTAAGTCTATCTTGGCAGTCTCGAGTAGTTCAAATGACTGCTGGAGATGGAGTTTTTATAACAGCGGTTTCGCAAGTGGCACACATCTGTTCCTGCCCTCTACCACCTTTCGCCAGGCTGCCTGAGAATATTCAGTGTGTGTGTCCGTGTGTGTGTGTGTGTGTGTGTGTGTGTGTGTGTGTGTGTGTGTGTGTGTGTGTGTGTGTGTGTGTGTGTGTGTGTGTGTGTGTGTGTGTGTGTGTGTGTGTGTGTGTGTGTGTGTGTGTGTGTGTGTGTGTGTGTGTGTAGGGGGGACAAAAGGAGAACAGTTGGCTCATGTGGACACATGTAACCAGATGCTGCCTTCATGGCCCTGACCTCAGTGGGTTTTTCCACCGCCACACACTCACATATACACTCACATATAGTGGGCACATAGTAGGTCCATGGAGAGTGATCCCAGCCTGGTACCATTCACACACTCATGCATTGTAATCCTACACAGGGTGATCAAGAGCTGGAGAATGCTCTAATCTGACACACAAAGAGGCGGCCGGATGGGAGGGTTGGTGTCACTGTATAATTAAGTCAATAGGTGCATTAATACATCATACAAATCCATAAACGTGTAATTTCGCTAACTATTACTAACGAACCAAATAATTTTTGGGATGAGCACTGTTTGCAAGCTATATTGTGCAACCAAAACTTTACTGAGACTTCAACATTGAGCACCAACAGACAGCGTGGAAAGAAGGAGTGTTGACATCTCAAACGGGAATACAAAAGTGGAATAGAGTCAGGAAGTTTGTGTTGCAAACTGGGCTTAAGGTAAGATGTTAGCAAACATTTGCTTACAGTGACTATTTATGCTCTTAAGTCTCTCATATCTGGCCAGATGCTGAGCTTTTATTTTCACAGCAGAAGTTAAGAGGTGTGAGAAATTCCATATTTACTTCAAAACAATATTATTACTGCTGTCTCAAAAATGTGTTTTTATTTATTTTCTAAACATATCTTGGCAGAGGCAGGCTTGGGAGCAGTGTGCTTGCTTTGTTTACTTTTCTACAATGACTAAAAATATGCTTTTATTGACTAAAATAATAATGTTGATAATTATTCTGTTATAATAAATTAATTACTATCACAGTTATAAATAATGTTTCTCCAAGGATTGGTCCAGTTAGTTTGCCTGGTGGTGTCACTTGCTTTTCTCCATAATGATAGAGTTTAATGCCATACTTTAGAACATTCTAAGCACAGCACTAACATTTTCATGGAGGAAAGCAAGTGATAGATCCCCACCAAAAATGTTACATACTGCACCTTTAAATATGTATAGTATAATGCATTTTGAAGGTTTTGCATATCGAAAAGAATACATCATCTTTCTAGTTTCTAATGTCGCATATCTTCCAATCACTATCAGACAAATACCAAAGCTCCCTCCTCTGACGCTTCCCACATCTCCTCGCTCTCATAATTAAGTAGGACCTGGGGCAGAACGCACATCAGACGGTCCCCATCTTTCCAGCGGGCCCCACACCTGCTCTGCACTTTACTGCGCCTTTTGGAGAATCAAGCCACTTACATCACTCACTGGAAAAATGCTGTCAACCCAACAGAGAGAAGGGCCTGTGTGTCATATGTGTACGCTTAAAAAAAAAAAAAAAAAAAAAAAAGACATCGTAAAAAAGGACAAGATGAAGCCTTCCTGCCTCACCGCACACTGTAGAAGACTGGCAACATTTTTCCACATCAACCTTTCTGACAGTCATGTTAACAAGCCCGAATGCCACTTTTACTACCCAAAACAAGACACAGCGGCTCATTAGAACACAGTGCTTTAAAGAGACACGAACCTTTTAATGTCCGGAATATGATGTCCTCTTGGTTTATCTTTATGAAGCTGTTGACAGTGTGGGGTCCATCTGTGCAACAAAATAACATATTAAGATACAGGTAACAAAGCGTGTTTAGTAAAAAATAAATACATAAAAATTGTGGTTGACTATAGACATGCTCTGTGCTTCAGTTTTGTGACTGAAAGAGGGAGCGTCGCTGGTAAGAGCTTTCAGATTTAGTACAATATTGTGCAAAAACTTCTATAATCAAGTAGTATATATTGAAGTACTAGTAAACAGCACTGTCTTTATTAAAAAAGAAAATAAAAACTGTCCAGGCACTCCCAAAACTAGAGCTAACTCAGTCCATGTGTTATTCTTTCTGTTGTTGTGCATATAAATAATCCAACATATAATAATCCAAATAAAATAATTAGTCAGATAATACAAAAAAATGTGGTCAACAACACTGACCGGTTAATCCACTAAACTCCTAAAGGGCTACAATGCAAATTTTCACTGTTTTGATGACTGACCTACCCTAATCCTGCTTCTACCAAAGTTGATCCAAGCCATAAACATTTGTGGACTAGCTTAAGCCTGCTGTTGTACACCCCACCCCATGTTTACATTGCACTGGCTTATGATAGTTTCCTTTGGACTTGCATGAACCATAACCACAGTCGTATCACTTATAGTATTAAAGCAAACATGTCACAGTCAAAAAAGATGTTTATCTCTTGTGGGGAATTATTTTTAATGCACCACCGAGATCGTGGCCAGTGACTGACAGACAATATTGTATAAAGGAAATGGGGTAGGAGATTTAAAAAAAACTAAAAAGCTGCAATTGTGAATAACACAAAAACTATAATGCTGCGTTTACTGGCAACAAGAAAGGAGAGAACGAATTTGACACTTATTAATGGTTAGTTCTGTGGCTATTGATTTATGTCACATTAAAAAAAATGTTTAATTGTCAACGTTAGATGAAAACATTGCATTCGAGCAGAGTGACCAGACATCCCCATTTACCCGGAACAATCCCAGTTTTGAGCCCTGTGTCCCCTGTCCCAGCAGATTTATCCAAAACCAGTGATTTGTCCCAGTTTTATACAAGAAATGCCCCAGGTGTGTCTATTTTTGACCAATCTGATCCCTGCCAACAGTAAAGAGAGGCATAAACTGTCAGAGAAATGTCAGAAAAGCTGCTTAAAAATGATGAAAACACAAAGATAATATGACTATAGTGACTCACCAAGCGCAAAACGATTCTCTTTAATTACGCACTCGTTTCACAATTTTATTATTACCAATCACAACAAACCAGTGATGTCACAACAATTTTTTATTTTGAAAATCTCGTCACCTACATTAGAGACTACATACTATTAGAAGGTAATTATATAAAAAATGATTAATACAGGCAAAATATAATTTATATGTTTTTTGTCTTGTAATACAAACTTAACCAAATTAACTAAAAACTACTTCACTTCACTTTTAATTTCAACAAGTAAAAAATAAAAGTTGTTATTACGGCGTAAACAGCGGCACATCAAGGCTACTACAAAGACGTACACGGCGCCGTTCGCTTGCTGCTATTGGTCAGTTGCCTCACGAGCGCACGATGCAATGAACCCCGCAGATAAAACAACGCGAACACCTGTGCAGGAAGTCAGAACCCGCCAAAGCGAAATGTCAACCCCAAACACGACACATTCCCCGAGTTAAAATGCTCTCACTAACTCCCAGCTGCAGCCTGTCACCGCTGCGTTACCCTACCTTGCAAAGACAGCAACCTCCGGAAAACTTTTAAGCTCCTACAACACTTCAACTCCGCAGAATAGTTCGCATAATCCGGTTAATACGGTTACAAGCCCCGGGAGCATCCGCGAGCGAAGCCCCCAAAACGCACGGGCGGAGGAGAGCGTGCGTAAGAGCGTCCGTGTGTTTGTCACTCACTAGAAGACTGTAGCCTACAAAAGGAGGAGGAAAAGAAAAAGGGCTGAGCTCAGTCAAGTTCCACAGCGAGAAAGGAGAAGTCCGTCCCCTCCGAGTCCTGCCCCTGCTCTCTTCAACCTCCCGCTGACAGAAATAGCAAGCGAGGCGGGCCCCACCAAAAATAGCTTTGACTTCACGCAGACCTTCGCGACTATTGTTTTGCCGCGCTGACAGACGCTTATTGGGCGCGCGTCGCAGCCAATCAGAAGGTGACTTCTGCTCGATTCTAAACTTGTGCCACGATCTAGACTTGACAATGTGCATCAAAGAATGGGGCAGTTTGCGGTGGCTCCATCTGCTGTTGTAACCCGGGCACCAGCAGGAAGAGGCAGAGAAATGTGAGTCTATATAAGCCTACGTCTGCGCGCTCAAGGAATGCTACTCTAATAAAAGACTTGTAAAGAAACACAATGATTTCATGCTACTTTTAGCCACCATTATAGTCATTATATAGCTATGATGATGTTTTGCCCTACATAACCAGCCTATGCTATTGTTATCCATGGCCTGTGTGTCTATTGTTGTGCATAGATGTGCACTGAATTTAATACTAGCCCTAGTATTTAGTATTTATTTATTTATTTGAGCACAATTTTCCAAACATTACAGTAAATGCGTTGTGATTTCAGTGCATAGCTGAGTAAAAAAAAAAAAAAAAAAAAAGTATATATAATCGTAACATAGTTTGCATATCACAATTATTGGCTTGGCTTTTATTCAGCAGGTCTAAAGCTCTTTCTGGTTGCAATAGCACAAGTTTGGACCTTTTATGGTGTAACTGAAAATCATATCTGCCTTTTGTAAGTGAAATTTACCTTTGCATTCGACTCATCACCTCATCAAGATTAATGGCGGCTAAAACGATGTTGGTATTACTTTGTATTTCTGGGTTTGTGAGGAGCGATTGTAAAACCTTTAAAACGTATTAGTGATTATATAGTAGAACTTAAACACAAGAATTGTTATTTCAATGTAAAAATTACCACTGTTGTTTTAATATATTTTACTACCAAAAGAAGTTATTTTTTTCAGGGTAGCAGTTTATCTAAATATATTTAAAGGGCCCATATTATGCTATTTTCTGGTCTATGTTATAATGTTCCTCATTAAAACATAGTTTGTTTTGTTTCATTCACACATTTTTAACGCACAAACCCTGCATATTTAGACTGAGTTCTTCTCAAAACACTCTCTTCCACATTGTGATGTCATGTGGTAATACAGGATGTGCTCCGCTATGTTTTAAACTCCGTACACCTTCACTACAGCCCTGGAAGTCGACTGAACTAAAGGTGAAAGGTAGCTGTTCACTTGAAAACTACCACTACATGACATCACAAGGTGGAACAGAGCATTTTGAGTTTTGGAGATGTACAGACTACAGACTAATAATAAAGGATTACTCAAACATGTGTCTGGGCGGATACAGCATTATAACATGACTTAAAGCTCACAAGGGTCAGTGCGCAATATAGGACCTTTAAGCTACCCTGTCAGCAGTTATCTACTTGACATTTAATATTGCTGGCCTGCGCAAAGGCTTTTGGTAGAAGTACAAAATATTCATCTATTGCCATGCCTTACATCAGAACCAATCGAAGTCAAACAAACAGAACATACCTGAGATTCTCAGGCTTGTGTGGGCTACAACAACTTGCTCATAAAAGGACAAAATAGAGGTTCCTCCAGAAATGTCCCCCTTGTCTGTTCTATTAAAAGTGCTCAGTGTAAGTTTTCTAGTGGAGGGTCTGTAGATTTTATTGCTTTGCCTGGAATGTAATACAATATAGCATCAAAAGTACTAGTATCTCTTTAAGGTTAGGGTTTGCTCAAAAATACACAAAAACCACTGCCTGGGTTTGCCTTTTCGTAGATCTGACTTGTAACTTGACCTGGTTGTGCCATCTTCTAAACCAGTTTGCTCAAGTCTAATATACTGTGGAATATTCTATAGGCTATCACCGGAAAAGTTACACAGTGCACATTTAAATTTAAGGAAATTCCAAAAGCACGTTTCCCTGTATTTTACAGGTAAAACACTTCCTTATCTTTAGACTTTTTACCGCATGTCCATGAATTAGAACAGTTTCACATTCTCTGCCGATAAAACGGGGCACAGGGCATTCCAGCCACATAGGAGGAAGTCAGGCATCCTGTGTGTGTAAATCACGCTCAATTGCACAGCAGATAATAGAGTGAAGCACGGTGACGCGGTTCTGACTGTGTTTTTCTGGTGATCCGCATATTTTCTGTAGAGCAACAGGCTGTTTACTGTTTACAAGTGCTAATATACAGGCCCATGGACATTCTTTAGGTGCACATGACAGCCAGCATCACTAACAACTCAGCATACCAACGTTACAAACTGTTGGAAGACAAAGTCAATGTTGCTTACGTTTAAGAAAAAAAAAATACAGAACTTCAATCATTTGCAGCATGTTTCGTGTTGAATGTTTGTTTGTCATTATGTGTTTTTTTTACTGCTCAAACTAATTGCCCCCTGGTGGGATTAATAAAATCTGAATCTGAAGCAAACAATGAAATTCAAAACTAATAAACAGCAGAACCATATTAAAGCAATAAATATGATAACAAATGTAACCCCATTCAATGCCCAAATGAAACAGATAATTAAAAGGCCAAAAACATGCACACATTTTATAATTGTAAATAATCCTAAATACCTCTGAGAAATCACAAACTCCTGCGGTGCTTGGTTTCAGGTTTTAATTGCATCTTTTGTGCATGTTTTTTTTTTTTTTTAATTCATCTGTCTTTACAATCAGTGGTGGAGTTAACAATTTGGGAGCTATAGGCAAACTTGAATTTGGGCCCTCACTATAATGCACCATATTTTTGTTTTTTTTTAAATATTTATTGTTTGTTTTTCACCATTGTTCTTGAGACATGCACATCTCTATTTGAATTATGGTGGATTGAAAAGTAGTTTTATTTTTTTGCTAGTACAAATACATTTTTGTTCACGTCCTTTACATTATTATTATTATTTTCCCTATGATTATTGTTTATAAGTTAACTACTCTCATTTAATGAGAGAAAATCAATTTTTTTCTGAAGCCTTGGTTATTAGTGGCACTGAGGGCAATTGGTTGGGGGCCCCTCCTGGTTTGGGGGCCCTAAGCAGCTGCCTACTTTTTCCTTTTACCGCCTGTGTTTACAATAATAGGCACTGGTTCAGTTTAGATCAAAAGTCAGACTTGTAAAACAAAACAAAAGTAAAAACAAAAAGGAGAATTAATGCAATGCAGAATGGCATAATAGACCAAAAGCTAAAACTGACTTAGAACCACAAGGAGGAACACATAAAGTGATTAATTTAGAAGTTTCTATATCAATATCAGCGTCATATATTGACTGAAAATGGCAGTTAGGTTGCATTATAAATTTTTTCTCACAGAAACCACTGGAAAAAAAAAAAAGAAATCAATTTCAGCTTCAGTCGACAACTACATAACAAATTCGTTTTCCCCCCCGCATATACAGCCGTTTTTAGCTCACAAATACATTTTGTGCTCGTTTCTGATCTCACAGTCAGGTCAGTGAGAGCTGTTTGATAGCAATACCGAAACCTAGAAGTGTGTCTTTATGTGTTTCATCTGCTGCTGGTGATCCTCCTGTCACCCTTTGGGGCCTCAATCAACAGGGGGAACCCGTCACATTTCCCAGAAGCCTTTGCAGGTACGTGGGTGTTCAGATCGACACAGGGATGTAGGCTATGTATGTGAACTGGAGAGCTATGTGTTGTATATGTGGTTAGTCCATTCAATTACACAACCGAGCACATCGTCTGAATCACATCCGGTTTCGAGCTGAAAATAACTAAACCACAGGGTGACAGAAAAGCATCGAGCAGCAAACGCCCACAGGGACACTTCGAGACAAGAGCGCACTGGTCACTTAAGAGCCCCTAAACAACACTGACCTAAATCTATGGCCTTTCGAGGACTTCTTTTCAGTAGCACTTGTTTTATTTATATCAATATGCCAAAGTTCAAGAAATGTCGTAGCATAAATCAGGTTCTACAGAGCTTCATTATGCAAGGTCCGCTGCCGATTATGCAATGAAAAGTCAAAGAGAACCATATAGAACCATGTGGTTAGTTGCATGCATTTTTAGTTTTTCTCTTTTAATAGGTGTTACTTGTGTAGGTGTCATGCATAAGTTATAGCACGCAATTTATTTTAAAGAACTGAAAGCATACAGAAATTATGAACATACAATCGTTATGTATGAAACTGCAAAAAGGGTATTAATCATTGCAGTATAGGGCTGAGCGATTACAACTGCATTTACTTAGTTTATTTTTCTTTGGTCAATTAACATTATCATACATCATATCACAATAATTTAACACAGAAATTATGTGTTTTATGTTTATCACAAAAGTTATTCTACAGACCGAAGGGACAGAAAGCAACACAAAACTCATCTTTTATGACTGCAGGAAAGAATACCTACTTAATTCTTTTGGTGCACACACAAACACAATACAGACACACAATGCAATACACGTCAACGTTCATAAACATACTAACCATGTACATATTAGTATTCATACCTATTGATATATAAATACATAGACACTTTTACTTTTACTAATACAAGAATCAGATTTAAAGGTGCATTATGTAACTTTTTGGTTGGGGGTCCGTCAGTTGCTTGTTCTGAAATTTTCCCATATATGGCATTAAACAGCTCTGCCTTTCATTTACTCAATTACAGGTGGTTTTATGGCTCAAAAACAGCGTGAAAAACAGACATTCTGGCTCTGAGGGGAGTGCCCTTCTATAGATCTGACCTGTAACTTGGTCTGGTTTGGGCTCCATGAAGACAGAAATGTAATACCATACTGTGAAACATTTCAGAGAAAGCAGTAACATCTCCATGGAGAAAAGTTTTTGATGGACCCTCCACCAGAAAATTTACAGGAGGCATCTTTAATGACATGTTACAGATCTAAACTACAGGATTAGCCATTTTTACGCAGAATAAGACAGGGGATATTGTGATTTGTTAATTTCTAATGATTTTAATTGCAATTTTGATTCAATATCTCTTGCAGAAATAGTGCAATAATACAGTATAACTTCTTCATGTGAATTCC